CCCCACCTTCAGCACTGGAATTAGAAAAATACACCTGGCTTTTTATATGGATGCTAGGGATCTGAACGCAGGTCCTCATGCTTGCTCCTCAAGAACTTTACATGTACTAAATTAAATATAGAAGTAAAGTAGAAAGGGTATATTTTCAGGTGAGAGTTGAAAAGAGATAGAAAGTTAATGAGGTGGAGAGATAGAGTGATGCTGTTCTGAATGGCAGGATCTGATAGAAGAGGCCAGTGAGGGTTAGCAGAAGGGATGGGGATGGTCAGAAAGGAGAAATAAAATTCAGCAGAGAGTAATCATTCTCAACCTAGAGGATAATCAATTCTGAATCATAGCAAAGAGCGGAAGAGGGACCATTAGAGGAGAATGCTGAGGGAGCCATGAGACAAGACACAGACAGATGGAAAGTGCAAAGGGACCTGCATGGAAAATTTGAGCCCATCATAAAGGAAGCAATTGTGCTCAGAACAATGACATTGCATTCAATGAGTGATATAGAGTGGCTTGAATTAAAGGTTCTATAGACAGGGAGAGATGAGAAATGCTTTCTTCCATTAAGACAAAAATTTAAACGCATTGTTATATTTGATTGAGGTTAGACACAGAAAATTAATGTCTCAATAACAGAATTTTTAAACACTGGATAAAGGTCAAAGAATCTTAGAGTTTAAAGAGAATCAGAGGTCACTTGAATAATACTTCAAAAGATAACCAGGCACGCCTCTGTGAGATTGTACTTGCAGGGCAGAATTAAGAATTAGATTGCTGGCTGTGTGAGGTGGTGGAGCTTCAGTCCTCTCTGGGGACACAGCCTAGATTAATGTCTGACCTTATCTTTCAAGCACGACCATCCTATGATTGGGGCAAGTATAAGGAACAAAGATGGAATAGAAGAGAGCCTGAGTGAGAGCACCACACACGGCCTCTTCTTTTTGTTCAGAGCCAGGGGTCCAGGCAGCAGCATAGAAAGACTCTGAGGAGAAAGACAGTGAGGGAGAAAGAAAGCAGAGTACACAGAAGGGATGGTCGGGCATCAGCCACACACATCTCACTCAGAAGTCCCATCGGGATGAAGGTCAACAGAACTGCCTATGCTCAGTTAATGGGACAGGGGCTGAGATAGTTAAGTCTATTCAAGACCATATGTGTGTTTGGAAAGAAGGAAGAAGTGAAAGTGAACAGAAAATGAAATGATACTTAGGCCAGTTATAATGAAACATGTTTAAATCTATGCATGAAGGCAGAGGTTTGGGAGGTGAGTTTTGAGCCAGCAGGAGGAATGCAGAGACAGGAAGTAGAGAGTAACAAAAAACAATCTCAGCAGTGTGACCAGAGCCATGCTTCCTGTGAAATGCCAATAAACATTAACTGGCTGGTGTTGATCTTGGTAGGGTAAAACATGGGACTGGGAAATGTCATGGCCAGCAGGGCATGAAAGTTCAGAACTCTGAACTAAAAACAGCCCAAGAAGGAAGTAGAGGCATGCAAACCACTGCAACAGATTCTGTGCCTACAAGGCCAGTCTGTTTCAGGGGAGCATCAAAACATAATCATGGCAGGGGAAAAAGAGCAAAGCCTAGGGAAACCCTAAGGATATATTCTCTTCTCTGAGAACACATCCACTTCAGAGGCATTGTAGCCTGAGCTGCAAGGAAAGGGCTTTCAGGGTAAGCATTTGTGCAGGTAGACACCAAGAAACCCAGCTTGACTCAGTTAAGAAAACTCCTTTGTCAGATGTGGCTGGAAATCTGAGAAAACATTATTTTGGGATTTGGATCCAAGGATAGGTATTCAGTAGGGACATCTCATTGTGGAGGAAGGGAGGCCATGGAAAAAGATGGCGCCTCTTCTCAGGAGTCAATACTAGGTGCAAAAGAGTACTTCTGCCAGTGGTTTGTCCTTTATTGATTCAATGTCCTTATTATTGTACATGGACAGGTTTTTTTGACAAATATTATTTCCTTCCTATTTCTTATTGATAGGAGTGTGAAGAAACAAAAAAGATAAAACAGTTGCTCGAAGGCTTAATAAGAAAAAGATTCAACTTCCAAATCTGAGACGCACTAAGTTTACCTGAAATATGTTCCTCCCTAGTAATGGGGGGGGGGGTCTTGCGTCTATGATTTAAAAAGTTATGTAGAAGATACATAACACCAATGAAGGAAAATTTCATTATTCAATAATATACTGATTAGAAATGCTTGATGAACCTTTAAATATATCAGCCCAGGTTCAACTGCAACTATATCAATGCATGGCGCATGCTAGTTTGTGAATAGGCATTTGCTAAATGGACAATAGACATAGAAAGCATGTTAAAAAAAAAGCCACAAAAGACAAGCAAAACACTTAGAATGTGGAAATTATAAGGAAAATTTCCATTTAATTGCATTCTTTTCTATTTGAGAGAATTGAAAAGAGAATCAAAAAGTTGCCACACTAATTTTTATATGATGGGAGCAGTCACAAATAACAAGACAGTTTTAGAGACAGAAAGCATGCCTTTCCACCCTTAAGATCTAGGGAAAGCTGGAGCCCCAAGGGGTCTAATAAAGCTCTTGAAGCATTTCCTAAGAACTTGCCTAGAAAATTCAAATGCTCTGCCATTTTCAGCTAGACAAATCCAATTTATTTCTTTTTAAAAGATGAGGTCTCACTCTGTAGCCCTGGGTGGCCTGAAACTTGCTAGGTAGACCAGGCTGGCCTCAAACTCACAGAGACCCAACTGCCTCTGCCTCCCCAGTGCTACCATACCTGGCAAATTCAATTCATTTTATCAGCTAGGTCTAAGTGTCTTTTATGAATGGGACACTGTGCTATGTGCCTGGGAAAGCCAGAATCAGGAATAGCCCTCAATGGGGGTAAAGAGGTGCATGTGCTTGGGTCTTGAGAATGAAGGTGTGGGAACTGTGTGGATGGGAGAAAGCAATCCCAAAATATCCAAAGAGAAGGATTTCAAGTTATAAGTCCACACATTTCTTGGTTTTATTATTAAAGCCTAAGAGAGCACCACCACTGCCATAGGTAGATTCTGGAACTCAGAATGTCCATTTTGGAACAATAGGTAGAGTTGGTGAGACTTGAACTCCGATAAGATTAGGTAGACAGCAAGGAAAGGCATCATGCCACTCAGAGATCTTTTCACAAACATCTGAATCTCCAGTCCAACACAGAGAGAAGCCCAATTAAGGCAAGCTGATACCAAGTAAAGATTTTATTTTAATCATGAATTGGCAGTCTTAAACTAAATGCCAAATAGAGCAGGCATAAAGATTGGGGGAGGGGTGAAGTAGCAACTTCAAAGAAAGTCTCCATACTTTCTCGCAATTACCTAGGTTTTTAGCAACAATCCCAGAAAATATTTAAATCTCATTTCAGTGCAGCAGATGAATGCTTCCATAAGACTGAAAAATGGGGAAACTAAAAAATGATCTTTAAGAACTGAACATTGTTTGCATTCACTCCCTTCCTTGAATGAAGAACCTAGAGGTTTTCTGATTCCATGAATAGAGATGTTCTACTTCAGTAGGATAAGAGGATCAGACATTTTTCAACACCAAGATAAATAAGTGCTAAATTCAGCTAGGAAAAGAACTTTTTTAGAATGAGAGACCCAGCTTTAGAAGTCTTAGCCAAACCTACAACATAAAGACTTGCCTCTTAATTATGATTTATAAGCAGAAATTGTACATTTGTACCAGCTGCATAGAATGAAGTCAAACAGAATTTACAGCCCCATGTTAACAGCTTAATTTGAAAATGGTAGTCTTGTATTCCCCACAAAGTACCTTTCCAAGGACTCACCCTGCTATTACACAGCCTGCAAACCATTCAGTAAGTTGGTCTGCAGTGTTTATTCCGTTTCCTGTTACTGACTCACTATCTATTTGTCACTATTTGCTTTGTGATCATTCTTCTGCCAAATGCAATATTAATTGCATTTTTAGCAGCACTGCTGGTGATCAAAGAGCTCTGATATGTCAAGCTAAACTGATAGAAATAGCATCCATTAACATATTTATAGGTTCAGAGCTTCTAGAACATAATTACATCCATTAATTACTTGACAGTACTTGGTTACATGCTAAACATGAAAGGCATTTCCAGCCACCTACTTCTGCTCAGAGTAAAGTTTCTTTTTCAGTAATAAATTTCCTCCAAAGAAGATTTATTCAAAGAAACAAGGCAAGGGGAACTTGCCAGTCTCCATGTTTATGAGGTAGAATTTTTAAAGGAACAATTCACTAACTTTGAAATAGAATTCACACAAAGTAAACCAGATGCCACAGACAGAGTGATTTCAAAGAAGAGCATATTTTAAACGCTACATAGAGATTTCATTAATATTTTAGAGTTCTAAGAGAGATAACCTCGAGCCGATGAATCTTGACGTTAAGCTATGAAACAGTGATTTTCACTTTCAAATGAACTTCCTCAAATACACAGGACCAAAGCATTCTGAATTTTCTACATATTTGGACATGCAATTCTAACATACACACATACAAATTTAAAGCTGTCCTGGGCAGAGCTCAGGAGATGCTGGGAATTAATAAACAGTTATTCTGTGAACTGAGCAGCTGTGCAAGTCCCGAAGCTGCCAGCTGCATTTAGTACCTGTACCACAGAAAGGACAGCAAGGCACACTTGACTCCTCTTGACCACCTAATCAGCATGCGAAATGATGCTTTCCTGTAACAACTTCAGCACCGGACCCAGACATGTTTGCCATTCAGCAAGGAATGGAGTCATGGGAAAAAAAAAAAAAATCACACAAGCTCTTCTCCTAGTTTCTGCATGAACCCAGCCAGGATGTATAGGCAGAGAGCACAGATGTGTGAGTCTACCTGTACAAAGAGATCTCTACAGATTTCTGAGTTCTTTGTTGCCCGACAATCAACTGTAAAAGGCAGTTATATTTGAAAGTAAAAATCATTAAACTGTTTCTGGGATGTTGCAGCAGACTCATGGAGTGAATAACAAGGAAAGCACGGTACCTTTGGTAAGTCGCCTCAGAATCTGACAGCGGCATTTAAAAGAGACAGCTATCATTCTCGCTCACTGCTTTCTCTGGCAAAGTGTACTCGGGGCTCTGCTCTGGTGGCTGCAGCGGCAGGCAGCTGCATCTGAATTCCTTGCGCACATACCAGGAGAAAGGTAGTCCCAGTGGGGAGCGACAAAGCTTAATTCCTCTTGGCTGTTGCAGAGGTCCGCTACATGTCATCTGGCAAAGCTGTGTCATTCACTACTACTACACCCCTGCCCGCCACAGCCTCCTCCCCCTGCGCTATCACAATGGCTTAGAAAGTGAGGCTGTTTCGATAGCAACAAAGCACCAAATTGTAGGAAGCAGGGACAAGGCTGGGAGAGGAGCCATTCCATAAATCTAATACTAAGCACTGTGCATTGCATTCTGTTTCAGGCTAAGGCTGTGTGTTCGAGCCAGTGAAGTCACCCCCACCCCCTTCCTTCTCGGCAGCAAGTCAGGATCCTTCGGCAGTCTCATTTAATGGGGAAAGCGAGAGAGATGCTTGCACTTTTACTTTAGAAAGAGATGCATGTATCACATACTATGTTTTCGCAGCAGCAACACGTACCAGGAGGCAAAGGAGCGGGGCAGCTTATGTGACGCACTCAAGAGAGCACCATATTTTTGCCTAGAGATGAGAAACAGATCTTTGATAGAGCTGGAAAGATCTGTTGGGCACTTTCCAAATCTCCTAGGTTCAAGGTAGTACCGGTTCCTGGATGGAATGCAGGAAGGGCCGAGGGAAGGGGTTCAGGCAAGTCGGGTTAGGTCAGTGAGCAGACAGATGGAGTCCTAGCCCCTTTAATGGCTGTTTCCAAAAAAGGCCTCTGGTGGAGAACAACACAGTCAAGACTGTTTCTAAAGATAACAGAAATAAAGCAAATAAGGCCAAGTATTTCTATTTTTAATGTACCTTATTATCTTATTTCCTAAACAGCCCTCCCCCAAGCTATTCTTCTCATTATGCAAATAAAATCATCTTGCAACACAGCAGATATTGGTGAGGATCTGCTCCAGTGAAGAGGAAATTAACAAGCCCTTCACAATCCATTCACAAAGTGACAAGGAGGCGGAGCTCATTTCTCCATCTGCCAGCACCAGCTCACTCACGATACAGTCACTACAAACTGACATTTGCTGTGGAATGTCCATCAAAATCTAGAAATATCTCACAGGAGTTAACCCAAACATTCGAGCTGCAGAAATTCAGATGGTTGGCCAGGAACATAGCAAACAAAAATCAGTCAATTAGTCCAAATGAAAAGATATATCAGTGATCAGCATTTCCAGAACTATATGAATTATTCACCCAGTTTTATTCTGTACTCTCGGGTCTCTAAAACAAATTAATCTTTTAAATGCCAGAGAGATGGCTCAGTGGTAAAGGTACTTGTTGCATGGATCTGGAAACCTGAGCTCAACCCCTGGAGCCCACATGATAGAAACAGAGAACGGACTCCTCTGAAGGCTGTTCTCTGACTTCCACATGTGTGCCCTGTCACCACACACACACACACACACACACACACACACACACGCTCAAACTAACAATAATGAAATAAAGTTTAAATCTTTCAAGCTGGTTTCTAAAATAGCTTCCACTATTCCAAACTGCATTGAAGCCAGTTCTCTCTTCTTCTCATTCATAAATCCCACATTAACTCAGCTTCAACCCACTGATATGCAAATGGATATGCCTGCCATTTTGAGTCCAAGGGAAAAATAATCTGTATGTGAAAAACAGCTGAGCACCATAAGCATCTACATTAAAGACTTTTTAAGGGACAGAATTCCCTTATCTAGGATGGTCTACCAAAAGCAATCATTATTAATTAATGGGAAAATTATTAAATGAGTTGTAGTGTAGACTTACATTTTTGCAATAGTTCACAGCATAAATATCATTTTCATTTCTTTTAGGCCATCCATAGAACCATTTTAGCCTCCTTGATATTTTTTCTGTTCTGAATAGAAATATATTTTGGCACTACAGAATTGGAGTATTAGTTAAAATGAGGTGAAGTTTTATAGCTAGCTCCTTTCAGGATCTTTCCCCAAATCTAACATCTTTCCTAAAATCCAAGCCCTCAGAATATGCAGTTGTCAAATATACTGTTAGTACAGTCTTACCCATAGAACATCACCACTCTGGTCCCTTTTATTAATGTCTATCCAAATAAAATTCAAAACCTTACATGAATCTCTCGCCCCTCTGATATTATACAGCCTCAGACGTAATTTGCTTCTTCCTTAAGGCTAAAATGATCAAATATTTCCCACTTTTACTAGCACATCCAGCAGTTTTTTTTAAGCTCTGTCCTCTGTTCCCAAGAAAATTCTTCAGAACTATTAAAATATCCCATTTTCCTGGCAGGAGAAATAATTCATCCTAGAGTACTTAGAAGGGCTCCGAAGGGCCCACACCAACTGATTTCTTTACTCTCTTTGGATTTTGTGAACCTAATCCACACAGATCCTATTAGCCTGCTCAGGTTTGGCTCTAGACATGAATCTCTGGAGAAAACCCTTTGCCAGGATCCAAAATATCTGCCATGTAGCCCCACCTCCTTCCATTTCTGGCCCCTCCAACACCTGGGATTTCCCTGGGAGCAATTCCCAGGTCAGTGTTGCTCCTGTTTAAATAGACCCTTTGTCTTCTTTGTCTAAAACAGGCTGAGCCTCTGATATTAAACTTCAGCCCTAGTGAAGGCCTTCTTAAGGTGCACGTTTTCTCTCTCCCAACTTACTGACCTGTAGGCCAAAGGTCTCAAGTGCCCAAGGCAACCATCCACAGCCTGAAAGCTGGGGCCCTCTGGGCAGAGTGGCCTACGTTTCTTGCACACCAGTTTAATACAAGCACACATCTTTGGGCCCTGAAAGCACTGTCCATCGCTTATGGTGGCTCAACCTTAGAGACAGCTCAAGTTTTACAACGTGTTCTTTGAGGGGCACCAAGTAGGGAATAAGAACTATAAAGCAGGCCAAATGGTATCACATGTATATCTGATCAAGCTCTAGAATGATCTGGAGAAGAGTAAATTTGTCAGAACAGGAGAATTAACTTCCTTTAAAACAACAACAAACAAAACAAACAAAATGATCAAATAAAACTCCAGGCCCTCAATATAGAAAAACATGGGCCTCCTGGATCTGGAGTAGATTAATCCCATAAAATAACTTATTTCAGGGTTTTGATAAAATGTTAACTTTCCTAAGGTGTAATACAATATCTACATAGACTTTAACAGATTACAAGGCACTCTGACATATAATGTATTACTGAGGTGACTCTGCTCAGAGTTTTTGTTTCAGGTACAGAAACTGGTTCTCAAAGAGGTGACTTGGCTGGTACAGGATAAGAACCAGAGCTCCCCACTTCTGCCTGAGTGGCTCCCCATGGATGCAATCTAGAGCTTGCACAGGTGGGCAAGCACTCCACCCTTGAGCTACATTCCCAGCCCCTGCGTATTCTTTCTACTAATTGCTTTCATACTGTTGCCTCTCTACTGATAGAAAACGTGATCCTGATTATAACAAAGAACCTCTAAGCACGGTTATGTTTATGACCGGCAGGGGGCGCCAAGAGACTGTTTCTCGTCACCTTTCCTGTGTCCACCCTTGCCCATGGCCGGGTCTGCAGCAAGAGTACGGGGTGTATATGGAACCACTGTGTCAGATGAGCTACAACAAGGCGGGAGTGAAACAGATGTTTTGGTAGGAGAACACTATGGGCCACACGTTTACCACCGCTGTCCCTTCTGACTGGCTGACGCCCCTTGTCATGCTGTATTAAAATATTTCGATAGCATAGTACTGGTTTCATGATAGAATGGGGTGGGGAGTGGTGGGTAAAAAAACAAAACAGAACAAATCAAGATCTTCAGACTTTCTCAAGGACACCAAAGTGTTATTAAAATTAAAGTGGCGACAGCACCTTGGGTTTGGGCACATATACTGCATCCTTTTGTTTGACAAACCTCATTTGCTGATTTTCTATATTGTGTTTATTCTTTATGTCAAAGCAAAATTTTTGTGTGTTTATGGAGTTGTCTGGTTATTACAAGGAAGGGTCATCATAAACCACAAGTTTCTTTCCATATACCTCCACCGGGGAAATTATTTAAAAATAAAATCAGTCACATGTGATGATGTATAACTTTAATCCCAGCACTCAGGAGGCAGAGGCAGGCAGATCTATGTGAGATCAAGGCCAGTCTGGTCTACATAGAGAGTAGGGGCTAACAGGGAGGTCTTGCTAAAAAAATAAAATAAAATAAAATAAAAAAGTAAAAGCAGAAAGAGTATATTCTAAAGTAGAGCATAAGACTGTGGGTGTACCTCCATGACACAGAGCTTACCTCATGAGTTCAAGGCCCTAGGTTGAATCCCCAGTATTGTGCACTTTTTTTTATTTTTTATTTATTTATTTTTTTTAGAAATAATGATGCCCTTCAGGAAGTGTTATTCAGACATGCTCTTGCAAATCTGGGATGATTAAAAAAGTTTGGGTGTGCTGTGATATCAAACAGTGTGGCATTTGGTTGCAGAACCCACATTCTTCCCTACGTTGGCTCCATGTGGTTAGATGATTATTTCATCAGGAAACCATAGAGAGTAGGAGTTGGGACTGCTTCTCCCTGTCTTTTAGATCACAGTTGCACGAAGTGAACTCTGTCCTAAGCGCCCACATTTCCCTGCTCTCATGCCGTTTCTTTCTCTGACCCTTATATGGTAGAATTCCAAGTTCTGTCCTAGTGCCTTAGCTACCTTCTTCAGCAACTAATCTACTCCCAGGCTCTGGCAATGACTTCTTTATTTGACTCTCAAATCTTGATCATCAGCCCAAATTTGCTTTCTTATTCTGCAGCCATCTTCCTTGATCCTTGACCCATCTTCCAAGGATCCTTGATCCTTGATGGCCTTGGCACCCATTATGGCCATCTCAAACCAGACCTGAATCACATAGAGCTTCTTGTTCTCTCCACAGCAGGATGCCTTCTTCCCCACAGGACACCATCACCATGTTCCTCAAGAGGCTGACCCTTCCAAGCCCATTAAAACCCCTCTCAACATAGTCCCTTTCTAACTGTAAGCATCCTAGGCCAGACAGTTACTGCATTCCCCAATTTTGTCTTAGAAACAAAGAATTGCTTGCTTTGTTTAGCAAGTGCTTTATGCTAGCCCCTGGTGTACCAGCTCTGCATGGGTACACCTCCTCCTAACTC